TGTCACTAACGTGGCTGTGTATATAGTATGAATGTCACGTATGGGGTTGAGTAGATAGTACAGGTGTCACTAACGTGGCTGTGTATATAGTATGAATGTCACGTATGGGGTTGAGTAGATAGTACAGGTGTCACTAACGTGGCTGTGTATATAGTATGAATGTCATACTGTATCCCTACTCTTTTGTTTATGTGCAGCCTGCAGCTGTGACCCACTGGGCTCTTTCAGCCGGGCCTGCAGTAAGTTTGGTGGCCAATGTTCCTGCAAGCCCAACGTCACCGGCCGCTGCTGCAATTCCTGCACCCCCCGCACGTTTGGGCTTGGCCCAGGTGGCTGCTCACGTAAGGCCCTCTCACATTAACCTTATAATGATGGCGGCCATCTTAAAACAGCATTTATTTTGCTACATTTCCCAGAGATCATCGCTCCCTTATCGCAGCTCAGCCCCCCCCCTCTCCCGTCTCACAGCGTGTGATTGTGACCCACACGGGTCCCTCCAGGAGGCATGTGACCCGCTGAGTGGGCAGTGCCCGTGCCACCAGGAGGTGTCAGGCCGACGCTGCCAGCACTGCCGGCCTGGATATTTCGGCTTCCCGCACTGTCAGCCATGTCAGTGTCACGGCTTAGCAGACAGCTGCGACCCAGTGACAGGGACCTGCCTGGACTGCAGGGATCATGCCGCTGGACCCAGCTGTGACAGGCATGCAGAAGCGCCCCCTTCTGGAGATTCATCTGATAATGCATTGTTGTGGCCGCTTGATGGTGACCCCAGGATGTTATGTGTGTCTCAGGTGTGAGCAGGGTTACCACGGCAACCCAGCCTCTGGCGAGCCATGCCAGCCGTGCTTGTGTCCCGACACGGTAGCCAGCGGACGTTTTTTCGCCCGGTCATGCAACAGGGACCCCAATGCGCTGCATGCTGAGTGTGACTGTCACCCCGGCCACTCAGGTCAGCCCCAGCCTGCTGCGTTAACGAGGGCCGCTTACAGTCCTGCCCGGACACGTTCCTGACCCTACCCTCTCCCTCCCCAGGTCCCCGCTGCAACACCTGCTCCCCTGGTTACTATGGCAACCTCACAACTCCGGGGGCATGCTGCATGGCGTGTAACTGTAACGGAAACATCGACCCAAGAGACGCCAGTTCCTGCGACGCGGTGACGGGCGAGTGCCTGCGCTGCCTGCACAACACGCATGGGTCCCGCTGTGAGCGCTGTCAGCCTGGTTACTATGGCAATGCGCTAGCCCAAGACTGCAAAGGTACAGGGTCATGTGACCGTTCATCCCCAGGGGGGACATAGCGTCAGAGACAGCGTGGCACAGGCCTGCGTCTCCTCGCTTTGCTGTGACACCCTCTTAGTCTGCCCCCCCGCTCCTCGCACATCTTCTCCGCAGCATGCTCCTGTGAGCCCCATGGCACCAAGCTCAGCCTGTGTCCCGCCCGGGGCCCCTGTCTCTGCAACCCAACATCGGGGGAGTGTCCATGCCGGCTAGGTGTGGTGGGCCCCCGCTGTGACAGATGTGCCGATGGGTTCTGGGACCTGGGGGGTGAGACAGGGTGCCAGCCGTGCAACTGCGACCCCGAAAACTCTATCAGCAATCAGTGTGACAAGGTAGGTCACAGGTCAGCCAAGTGATGAGTTGGGCTTCTTGTCTCTGATCCACGTGTCCCTCCCATGTGCCCTAGGTCACTGGTCAGTGCCGTTGTCACCCTGAGTTTGGAGGGAGGGGCTGTAACGAGTGTGCAGATAATTTCTTCGGGAATCCGGAGCTGCAGTGTATCCGTAAGTGTGGCCCCGGAAGGTGCTTCTTGGTCACCATGGTGACGATGCAGTCTGTTCTGTTCATCCTCCCCCCCCCCCTGCTGCCCGGTCTTCAGCTTGCCACTGCAACCTGGATGGCACCGAGCACCCGGCGTGCAACCGTTACACCGGAGAGTGCATTTGCCAGCCTGGTGTGACCGGGACCTTCTGCGATGAGTGTGCTGTAGGGCACAAGGCCTCCTTCCCGGCCTGCCCAGCCTGCCATCCCTGCTGGTCCCTGAGGGCCCAGACCGTGAAGGACCTGCGGCTAGAGGCTGAGAGGCTGGCCGAGTTTGTGCACAAACATGGTACCCCGGGGCTGCCAGATTATAGCATCAAAATAGGGAAACTCCAGGATGAACTGGACAAGCTTACAAACTGGACCAGAGACGTCGAGACCATTGACATCGAGAAGACAGAGATGCTGTGCCAACAAATCTCGTAGGGTCAAAAATCTGGAGAAATGATGTTGCTAAAATGTTTAACCTTTAACTATTAAACAAAGACCAACTTTACAAAGGAAGATCTGTCCTCTCTTAGCTCACAGTAGGTATTACAAGGTAGCAGCTCTTACTCACCACTTGACGTATCTTTTCAGGATGTTGAAGGATACCATCAAACCTAAGGCAATAATAATTGACAAGACTCCCCTTTTGAATGCTGAGATTGATGATATCAGAAACGACCTCAACAGACAGTTGGAGATTTTGTCAAAAAAATTAAAGCCAGTAAAACTTCCAAGTCGCAAAGCCGTGGAAGGTAAGACCAACCAGGAGGCCTTGAAACAGAAAGTGAGAGGGTTATATGTGGACAGGGCTGGAGTAGTGCTACCAAAAACCCCCTACAGTCTCATGACCTGCTGAGGCTGATTTTGGGCTTGTCACATTGGTCTCGCTCTGCTGACCCATCAGAGGCTTTGCGGGAGATCAAGAAGCACTATGAGTCAGTCAGTGACACAGAACAGCAATGTGAAGATGCCAAGGCCATGCTGGAGATGTCCAGGAGAAGACGCCAGAAGGTCAAGGAGATGCTGACCAGCTGCTCAGAGAAAAACCTGGACTCACTGGAGAGGAGGGTCAGGAATCTCAACGTGGCCGATTTCAACGAGGCTGTAAGTATGAGTTCTACTGGTTTTCATGATGCGCGTGATGCGTCTATGTGATGTAAATTTAAAACAAAAATAAAAGACTCCTAAAATCATCCAGATGGTCAGTGTCGTCTCCATCTGCCATATTGTCAGTGCAGATAAGAGGAGAAATGATAACACATAGTTCTATGCTCATGAACCATAAATATTTATTTGATATTTAAAATTTCAGTCTTTCGTCCCTAAGCCTTTGATCTGGAGATCCGCTGCCTTCTCTGTCCCCCTCAGATCTGCGGGGAGCCGGGTGATGCCAAGTGCTCCGAGGCTCCATGTGGGGGGGCCTTGTGCAGGGACGCCTTGGGGGCCCGGAGGTGTGGGGGCCTTGGCTGTAGAGGTATCCTGCCACTCAGCCTGAATGCCACGGCTCTGGGAGAGCAGGCGAAAAAGCTCTTGGCCGACATGCCGGGCAAACTGACGGACTCGGAGACTAAGGTGCGTCACGTGGCCGGAGCGCCACCTGGAGGATGATTGTGAATAAATGACTTCCTCCTCTGTCCCCAGATTAGTGACACCAAACAAAAATCCCGCAATATCAAAGCGAAGGCAGAGGAAATGAAGAAAAAAATCACTGAGAAAAAGGAGAAGCTTGAAAAAAATAAAAATGAGACCATGGACCTGATCCAACAGGTCAAGAGATACCTCCAAGGTAAACATTGCTAATGCTAATCACCATGCTAACGTGATTTGGGTTAAATCATGTTAGATAACGTGATTTGGGTTAAATCGTGCTAAATCATGCTGTGAATTGGGTTAAGTTATGCTAAATGATGCAACATACTAGCATGCAAAACCCTACCACTCTACTCATGATGTCTGTCTATGTTTGTTATTCTGTGGTGGTTCTGCTGACAGATGAACTGGTGAGCCCAGAAGACATCGAGAAAGTGGCCGGTGCAGTCCTGGCCATCCAGCTTCCGCTGTCTCTTGAGGAGATCCAAGACATGATCGACACGATCCACTCCATTGTGGCCAACAGCCCTACGGTCAGAGAAGATTTGGACCACCTGACGAACCAAAACCAAACTGTCAAGGAGCTGCTCGAGGCGGCCGAGGACGTCCAGTAAGTGTCAAGCCCACACTGAACGGTTTGCTAACGGGCATCAGGACACAGTGCTTCCTGTCCTCCTGACAAAGGCTCTGTGTCATACCAGTGAATGGTCCCAGTAACATACAAACTGGTAACATCATAAGCTGTTTTGGATAAAAGCATAAACTAATGTTCACTGCATAAGTGTATTTCTGAGAAATGGTAAATTAATGTGGACATGTTTTGCAGTGTCGTATTGGGACCAGAAAATGTACTGAGATGTAAAAATGTAACCCTGTTTTTCTAAGTAACAAAACAAGACAGATCAATGTCCGTCCCATTAAACAAGCATTAAAGGAAACAGGAGGGATACAGGACAAGGCTAAAGCGCTCTTGGATTCAGCAAGCAAGGACACCAACACTGCAGATGAGCAAACTTGGGAGGTGATGCTCCTATTTCACTTGTTATTGAGGTATTCCCGTGTTGTACTTCTCAACGTTTCACTCATTGCTGGGTTTTCCTGTTTTTTTGCCAAAAGATCGAGAGAAAGCTGGATAATATGGTGAGAAATTTACCCGACACAAAAATCAGCGACACACTGCAGCAAATTGAGGCTCTGAGGAACAAGATGGAGATGAACCGGCTACAAGCTCAGGAGGCTAAATCTGCGGCAGACGCCTCCCTGGACAACAGCATGGAAGCAAAGATGGTAATGCTGCAACCAAGCAGCCCGGGGATGCCATGATCTGGAGCGCATTGGCTTTTAGTCTTTTTGGCTGTTACACAAACCACCTGACATATAGCTGTGTGTCAGAGTTGTGCTTACCCCTTTAAGCCTGCCATGCTCTGACCAGCTAGTTGTTTCATTTTGTATGACAACACTTCAATGTTGTTTAACAGCTTCTTGAAGAAGTCAAGAGCTCATTCGAGAAGTTAAAGAAGAATGAGAAAAAAAAGAGCACCAATGACGAAGTGACAGAGAGGCTGAAAAACATAACGATGGAAGCGGAAAACCTCAGGGATGAAATTAAAGACAAAACAAGTCGGGTGGAAGGTATTTCATTTGTGTGGGGTTTTCATACACTCTTCCTGCAACACCGCTTATCAAGTACAGGGTCATGGTGGTCCCTGTAGATTATACTGGGAAGCACAAGGCAAAAGGTTAAGGACAACCTGGACAAAATGGGAGCCATTCCAAAGCAAACAGAGGCACATTTTAGGAGTTATCTATGCTCTTGGATTAAAAGATGAAATCAGAGGAATATTTGGAGAACATACAAGTTCCACACACCATGAAATCCACATCCCTGGAGATGTGAAACTAATTGTTTATTTTGCAAACCCGTCAGGCAGGTGGTGTATCACAAGCATACAGCTGTTAAGGAGCCAACACAGGTACAAGTGCTGCTAGGCTGAGCTTCCAGTGAGTGACCAGTAACAAGCACAAGAAGGCTGAGGGAACAACAATTAAACAAACAATCTACAGGGTTGCCAATTTTGCTCAGCTGGCTGGAGTGAGATTTTCACATGCACGCATGTTTACATGCATGTAAGAGTTTTATTACCTTGGAAATAGTCAGTAGGTTTTGCAAACTGCCCAAAACCTAGCTAAGTTTAAGTTTATAATGGAATAATATTGATTGGCGTAAGATTTCTTGCGTGAGTGTGAGCCTGAAAGCGTGTCACACCAGATATGAGATATGGCAACCTTGAACGTAGCATCTGAAAAGCTATACAAATAAGTAAGACAGTCTAGTAGGAAGTCTAAATGTGAAATATAAAAACATGTATGACGTACAACAAACAACTACTAATAAATTCAGTTGCATTATTGACCTGAAAGTTTTAAGACTGAATCCTGGTTTTATTTGTCTTAGCAACTATGCAACCTGCCGGAGGCAAAGCGTAGCTGGCCGTGGCCATTCATCCTGAGGCGGCCAGCGGTAATATTACTCTTGCTGTTTTCTCGAGCATCTGCTATTTTTATTGTTTCCTTCCTACAGAGCTGGAAAAGAGGATCCTAGATCTCGAAGAAAGAAAAGACAGGAAGGTGGAAGAAGTTGCGGAGCTAATGAATGAAGTGGCCGGCATTTGGGCGGAAATCGCCAGAAAAGCAGCAGAATACAGCAGCTGCACCTAGGGGTTGCAGTGTCGAATCCCAAAGCATTCCACATTTTAATAGTAATAAAATGCTTTCGATTTCGAGTAATTAAATTGCATTGCGAATTATTAAATTTCGATTTTGCTTTGTGTGTCTCTCGTTTCTGCGTATAAAAAAAACAATTTTTGTTGTTGATGACAGTACAAATATAAGCCACCACGTGGGGGCGTTAGACAAACATGAACTGGGGGAACTGTCACCAAAGTTTTTCATATTTTTCATGATGTTGGTATATTGAGATTAATTATAAAAACTGTCATAGAAACGGTAATTGGGCGTCTATTATTTAGGTTATTATTCAATGATTTTGTTTACCAAAGCATGTAGCGCTGATAAAATACAATTCCGCGTTATACTTTCTACTAAAAAAACAGAACCACGTATTTGAGGTGATAAAACCAGATCTATTGTGCAACACGTAAAAGTCACCGAATACAAAAACACAGTTATAGATTTCACCTACAGTTTTGCTTTGATTGTGAAACGCTCTTGGGGTCCCATCTGGGGCAGAAGCGGGCTGGGATGCGCTGGGACGGGGGCTTGGCCGAGGGACTCTGCTAACATGCGGAAATCGGCGCCCTCCCACCAGTTCGGGACGGGGAGCGGGACGGACGCTGAGAACGGCGCTCTGAGCGTTTGCTGAACATGCTGTTCCATATTGCGGCTGCGTTATGTAAGTATGAAAAATAACGTAGTACTGAAGATTATTCAGGCAGAGGCTAACTTGTGTATAGTATATGTGTAGTTATTTTGGAAGAAGCAGGGGACCGTTCAGAAAAGTGATGTTGAATGACTGATGTTTGTGTAAGTCGTTCGTTTTTAAATATCACTAACTTAAATGAAATTCAACAGAACAAAAGCAATTCCTGTCTGGGAGTTCAGTCATTCCTCAATCATCAGATCTTTTATACTGTAGACATACACTGTAACTTAGCCTCCCCGGTTTCCTCGATACTAAGGGTCGAAATGCTGTTTTCTAGTTTCTTTCAGCTGGTTTCACGTCTGAAACGAAATTAAATGCATGTCATTAAATAACACAGAAACACTTAACAGAATTTTTTTTCAGTCATGAAAGTAACACTGTTGTAATGAAATATCAAATGTAAATTGTCCTTAGTCTTATTTTGAAACTTGCACCGTTATATAACTGATTAAAATTCACTAGGTCAGCAGACTGTTCACATGAATTAAATTAGGCCTAAAACATATACTGTCTCCTTCTACTATGTCAAGTGTCGGTGTCTTATTATTAAACTATTTATTGTATTAGTAGCATGACCATAACCAGGGTAGTTAGCCTAATGGCTATGGAAAAGGTCATGGGCTAAGTTAAAAGTTTTTTAAAAAATACTCGGGGCTATTATTTAGGTTATTATTTAATGATTTTGCTTACCAAAGCATGTAGCACTGATAAAATACAATTCTGCTACAGCCCCGAGTGTTCGGACCTAACGATGCCCATTGACCCTAACCCATCTATAATCCGTGTAGGTTTTGCTGCGGTTACCCGCGCCCAGGTGCCCGACATGAGAGACCTATGCACGGAGAGCAGCTGCTACCCGGCGACGGGCGACCTGCTCATCGGCCGATCCCAGCGGCTCTCGGCAACCTCCACCTGCGGACTACAGGGTCCGGAGCACTTCTGCATCGTCAGCCACTTGCAGGTGAATGGGATGGCAAGTTCTTCGACAGGCTGGAAAATCCTTTGGTGCAAGTTCCCCTTTTAATGAGTTGATATCACATTAAATCTCTCCTAAAGATTTATCGTGCCGTCATTGCCAGTTTATCGTGTGAGTTGAATTTGTCAGGGAAAACGAATTAACATTGACTGTTAAATGAGACGTGCTCCTTCACGCGCATCACCACCCAAACGGCACGGGAAGGGACCACGGACAGTGTGAACCGTGACCCCCAACACCTGCTTATTTATTTTTCATATTTCGTGTGGAACAGTCTTTACAGGCCCATTATATTAAAAGTCACCATTATCCATTATCCTTCAATGCCATGCATTCTCTCCTTTAAAAAAAAAAAAAGTTGTGCAATCTAACTGCAAGCTTAGAGAATCATGTGAGGTCTGCATCTGGGGTACAGATTATGTTGGCTGGTCCTTAGCTGGTTCTGAACTGGCAAATGTGGACTTACAGATTTGCTTACATTAAGATAAAGAAGTACCGTTCATTAAACATAATTATTTGAGCAGTTGTGAACATCATGCCTTGAGATTTTCCTCGTGAGTTTAAAGGAGGCCAGACGGTTTTCTTTTGTTATGTCTTTTGAAGCCCTTGAATGTCATCTTTGTGTTCTCATTGGCTTTTGCATTCTTCAACCCCCCCAACCCACCCCGCCGCCTCCTTAGGATGAGAAAAAGTGCTTTGTGTGTGACTCCAGGGAAATGTACGACGAAGCCACACAACGCACAGAAAGCCACCGAATCGAGAATGTGGTGACAGCATTTGCCCCCAATCGCCTGAAGACTTGGTGGCAGGCTGAGAATGGTGAGCTCTAAAGTGGGATATAGCCTTTCCCATTTGACCATCTTAGTCAAGAGTGATTCTAACATCATAATTAATGGGTTGATCAGCCTATCGATGTTGGGAAGAATAGATTTGGTGGCTGATTAAATAAACATAAGAGCTCCTTTTGAGCTGATCTTGGCAGCCCTTAGAGGGTGGCCTTGCTTTTTTCCTGTTATTATAAATTACATACATAAATATGCCTCTCTGTTTTGTAATACTATGAAATGAGTTAAGATAAACAGAGGAAATCAGACCCCTGCAAACTGGAGCTGAAGGAGACATGGATACAATCGTTCTGTGGGAAAAGAATGAAACCGTTGTCTCATCAGACCAGGGGCTGCCAGCACCACAGATGGGCCTGGGAATCTGGAGGCCGCAGGCCGATTGACGGCATTTTGGGAATTACAGCCCACTCATGTAACAGCCATGCAAGGCTGATTTCTCCCTGACATGTGGCTTACGTGTAGCTCAGCCAGCCTCATCCTACACAAGCAAGGGAGGTTCTGGCTTCCTGGAAAGCTCAGTTCCCCAGCTGTCCAGCGGTCATTCAGATTGCACCAGACCCCACTTAGGGTGACTAAAATAAATCGATCCTACATGACAGGTCCCGCTAAGTGCTCTAAAGAAGGATTAGTAGAGAAGTGCCTTCTTCTGAAGCAGACACGAGGTGGTTACTATGGACTCATTAAGTGGTGCAGCTGTGTGTGGAATTAATGCTTAAGACTTTTTTTGGCTCGTTCCACAGGAAGTTAGCACTGATGCTGTGACTGTCCTGCAGATCCGGTTTGTGTTTAGCTTGGCAGCGTTAACTGCACTCACACAGATGTTTCTGTTTGCGCTACGCTTCCTCATCCCCTTAGGGTTGGAGAACGTTACCATCCAACTGGACCTAGAGGCTGAGTTCCACTTCACCCACCTCATCATGACCTTCAAGGTGATCCTGAATCCAAAAACGTATCTAGTCACAATTTACTGAACAGAATCTCCTGCTTTGTGATGGTGGGAGAGACAAGCTTTTGATATCTGCAGTGGACGGGAGGGTAATGCTCTGTCCATCAACGTCAGCTATATGCCACTGGTCACTTCCTTGGTTCCTATTGGCTCACATTTTAAAGGCATGTTTCTCCCATGGCTTTTAAATGGCTCATAGCTTTATATGTTTTATAATGTTTAACACTATACTCATGTTGGTCATTATCACAATAGGCTATTGCAACATTGACTGTATGAGTGCGTTTTTTTGCAGACTTTCCGACCTGCTGCCATGGTAATAGAGAGGTCTATGGACTTTGGGAGAAAATGGCAAGTGTACCGCTATTTTGCCTACGACTGCGAGTTGTCCTTTCCCGGTATTTCTCGCGGCCCCATGAAGAAGGTGGATGACGTCATCTGTGACTCTCGTTACTCGGACATCGAGCCCTCAACAGAGGGGGAGGTATTTGCTGCAGTTTGACGGTCTGAGTACCTCAGGCTGATTCTTAGTTCCCTAGTTGTAACAGACATACTGTTTCTCCAAACCTGTCTCTGACTCTCATCTTTTTTAAAGGTTATCTTTCGTGTCTTGGATCCTGCATTTGAAATCGAAGATCCGTATAGCGTTAGGATCCAAAGTAAGTCACCCGGGGCCACTAATTTGCATGTGGGTTCGTTCCCTGGCGCCACCCCAGCGGCACTGCAAAGGATTATGAGCTCCATTTTGTTTGAGTCCATGCTTCCACCCACTGGTAGCTCACATGGAATTTAACACAGGAAATGGCCCCCATAAGACCTCTGCGCCACAGAGGTCCTTCTATACAGTAAGTGGCTGTTCACAGGCCTTTTATGTCAGTAAACAGGCCGCAGGGGAAAGATGTGAACATGCACTGGAGGCCTGGGAATGCAGGACCTCTCACTGCCCAAAGAGAGACTCTTTGGGTTGAGCTGAAAGTTGATGTGGCGAATACTGATAACACATTTTTACACATCTGCAAACAACTCATTAAGTCGTCACTTAAACGTGGCATTGATTTTCCTGTCCCCCCACACCCCCACCTCCTGAAATTTGCACCCAGGCTTGCTGAAGATCACAAACCTACGGATAAATTTTGTCAAGCTACACACGCTGGGGGACAACCTTCTGGACTCACGGATGGAGATAAGGGAGAAGTACTACTATGCCTTATACGACATGGTGGTCCGCGGGAACTGCTTCTGTTACGGACACGCCTCGCAGTGCGCTCCCATCACTGAGTCTGAGGTGGACATGGAGGGTATGGTGAGTGAACCACATGTGTGTGCATTCACTCCCACGTAAAACCAGGGTTAACTCACGCCACTCAGTTCAAGAATCTGCACCTTCATGTTTATGTTGCCAGTCAAACACAAACCATCTAAATCTGGGATAAGACCTGTTAGCCTAACACTTATCCTATAAACCATTTTTATTTGTATTCATTACCCATCAGTCTATAATGCCAGCCATAAACTTGGTAACAGAGTCATATACAGTAGGACGTACTGTGAATGCTGTCCAACAGTAGATGCCTGGTTGAGCTGTCCACATGGTATGCTTTAAAATAGCATCATTCTATCACAAAACAATGAATGGAATCTCATGTGAAGCAGCCGCAATGGTATCGTGAGTAAAGAGCTACAGGCAAACTGCCGAACCCAAAGTATTTACAGCTGTTATGGTGAACCTGGAATCTCTTTGTGAGTTTTTAAGTGTGGCCTCTGTTCCCTCAAACCAGTTAAGCAGTTAAGTCCCCGATTCAGTCAATTCCCTCTCAGCCCCAAGCTTCATGTAGCCCTATGTGTGTGCATTCAGGTTCACGGACAATGCGTGTGCAAGCACAACACCATAGGTCTGAACTGCGAGAAGTGCCAGGATTTCTACCAGGATCTGCCCTGGCGGCCTGCAGAGGGACACAGCGCCAATGCATGCAAAAGTAGGTCTGCCTCTGGTCATGGTTGTGTACTGTGTTGACAGTGCATGCAGGAGAGGCACAGGGCATAAGAGAACAAGGCTGACGGTACATTGTTATATTTCATGATTTGGACAGTTTCTGTGTAATTCACCTTGCAGAAGAAGCTGGCCCAAAAGGCTACACCGGGAAGCTGTTTGACTTCAGCTGGCGCTGGGCTGGTCCACTCTTTAAGTCATTAACTGCAGTTACTGTATCTTTGTCGCGTGTCATACCTGCCTAGAGTGTGACCAGTTCTGCTTCCTGGCTGACGGGTTCGCGAAAGTTCAGCCAACTGCCTGACCCGTCCCCTCTCTCCTACAGGATGCAATTGCAACCAGCACTCGGAGACATGCCACTTTGACATGGAGGTGTACATGTCCACGGGCAATGTGAGTGGCGGTGTGTGTGACCACTGCCACCACAACACCATGGGCCGTAATTGCGAGCAGTGCAAGCCGCTCTACTTCCTGAACCCCGAGAGAGACATCCGTGACCCGCTTGTCTGTGAACGTACGTCTCCCTCACAGTAGAGCTCCCTAACTTACTCCAGTCACCTTGAGGTTCAGACTAGACACGAATAAGGAGCTTCGTGGCCACATTCAGGGCTGAGAACCGCACCCACATTGTATTCCTTTGTGTCTATTCATCTGTCCTTCTGTACTTGTGTGTCTGTCTTCAGGCTGCAACTGCGACCCCATCGGCTCCCTGAATGGTGGCATCTGCGACAGCATGACAGATGTCTTGGCTGGCCTGATCTCGGGACAGTGTCGCTGCAAGCTAAACGTGGAGGGAGAGCGCTGTGACCAGTGCAGGCAGGGCCACTATGGGATGAGCGAGCACCAACTTGGCTGCCTACGTGAGTGCCTATCCTCCACGCTCTCGTTCCGGCATTCTTAAGTGGCAGCCATTCCTCTCTGTTTCCTCTAACTTCAGCAAGAGACCAATCGATGCATAAATGGCTAAATGGGGGTTTCTTTCCACTTTCTTTCCCAGCATGCACCTGCAATCTTCCTGGCACTATTCCAGGAGGGAGCCCCTGCGACACGGACACAGGGAACTGTTTCTGCAAGCGGCTGGTGACCGGCCGAAACTGCGACCAGTGTCTGGTTAGTGACCATAAGCTGGCCCGATTATGTTTAAGGACATCTGGCTCAAAACTAACACTTTAGCTAAGCTCAGGCTATAAAGGGATGTGCTCTTAATGTGGTCTTACCCGACAGCCGCAACACTGGGGACTCAGCAATGACATGGATGGCTGCAGGCCATGTGACTGTGATGAAGGAGGAGCCATTAACAACAGGTATGTTTGCCTTTGGCGCTTGGAGCCATCTGTCTTGTTGCAACATTCAAAGCCACAGAGGTGTTATGGCTGCCTAAGAAACACACACAATATGAGGGCAGAAGGATTTCAGCAGAAGTGGCAGGCTGTCAGTAATAGCTTGCTTCTGGCTGATACATTTCACATTGTAGGGGTTTCCTCTAGAAGTTTCTCTAATGTGGAGATCCTGTTGTGTAGCTCCAACAGACAAGTGGCTGTGGAATGAATATATTGTGGTATTAATGAAGGTTTTGAGGATTGTTCAGGAACTTTTGGTGAGATGCTGTAAGAATCCTCCATCTTGGGGCAGTGTTGGCCTAATGGTTAGGGAAGTGCAGCAAGGTACTGACTCCCCCCCCAGCACTGCTCCCTGGGTGTTGAATTAGCGGGCCCCTGCTATATCATGATGTCACATATGGGTTAAATGCAGAAGACACATTTTATTGTTGTGCATTGTGTGTTGTGGTGTGTCAACACTCATCACTGATCACCAAATTCTAATTCCTCTCCAGCTGCTCTGCTGAAACAGGACAGTGTCCATGTCGGAAACACACCATTGGCCGCCAATGCAATCAGCCAGAATCTGGGTTCTACTCCATTGCCTTGGACCACTACATCTATGAAGCAGAGGAGGCCAAGCTGAAACCTGTGAGTTCCACCTAACGTTCTCATACCCTTACTTTTTAATCGACTATCCAGTCTTAGGTGCCCACTTGTGTGAATTGCGTGTGCTGTCAGGATATGACCGTGGTCCAGAGACTCCACCCCCAGGACAGGGACCCTACCTGGACTGGAACTGGACTTGTGAAAGTCTCAGAGGGGGGGGTCCTGGAATTCAGCATCGACAACATTCCCAGCTCCATGAAATACGACATCCTGGTCCGTTATGAGCCTCAGGTGAGAAATGGCACAGGGATGACCCTGCATTTCTTAATTATATGTTATGATGTTCCTTATGATCTGCATTCATTATGACTTTTCCTTTTGCCTTAGTTGCCTGACCAATGGGAGGAGGCACTTGTAACAGTGACTAGACCTGGCGTGATCACGGCAGACAGCCCCTGTGCTGACAGCCGGCTGGATGATGACAGCCAGATGGTGTCCCTTCCATCTGGATCCAGGTAGAGTCTCAGGTTTTTCCACATGAGCACCACCATATGGTGGGATGGTGAGGGGTCTTGTTTGACATTTCTGTATTTACATTACAGATATGCTGTGTTTCAAAGACCTGTGTGTTTCGAGAAAGGGCTGAACTATACCCTCCGACTAAATTTGCCCATCTATTCACCCCTAACGGAAATCCAAGACCCCTATATTCTCATTGACTCTGTGAGTGTTTATCCCCAAACACCCTAGAGCTTACCTGCTGTGTTATAAAGTTTTATACTGCTATACCAGCCATGTATGACACTTCTGTGGTCACATGACTGGTCCACTCTGTTTTGTGGTATTAATATTGAGCCATTTTCTTCTGGAGTGCCTTGGGTAGACTTGAGTCCTGTCTTCCACAGATCGTGCTCATGCCCCACTTGGAGAGCATGGAGATCTTTTCCAGGAATGAGGAATGGGAAACATTCAAGCGTTACCGCTGCCTGGAGAACAGCCAGAGTGTGGTGAAGACACCCATGACAGACATCTGCAAGAGTTTCATCTTCAGCATTTCAGAGCTGCTGCACCAGGGCTCCTTAGGTATGGGCATGCATGGCTTAGTGTGTCCACCTTGTCATGCACACTTTCAAGTTTCAGATTAGGCATAATTTGATTGATGGTAACTCCTCAATGAATGCTTGCCATATTGGTCATTTCATCAAGAGACTAGCATCTTCCTCATATTCCCCCTTCAGTGAGACTTAGGGCCTAACTGGCATAATGAACAAACATTGGAGTAGCAAAATGGTTCAAATGAATAAACCGGTCAGGAATAGGGCATAAATACAGTCGAACCTCGGTACAACGTACCCCGTTTATAACGTTGACACCAATACAACGTTCAAATTTCAATGTCCCGAATTCGCGTAATGCATTATTCCATTTGCCGGTATCGCTTAGAACGTACACCTTTACAGCGTAAACTTCGATATAATGTATGATTTTCAGAGGAAAATAGGCAAACTGACCTTCGTTACAACGTACAGCCTCATCTTCCGAGCGCGCGCACAATTCAGAATCGGCT